CCCTTCTCAAAAAAAAAAAAGGGGGGGGGAGTGAACTTCAAGGGGTAGGGAAAAAAATAGTAATTCCTAAGTCCCAAGCGTGTTACTAACGGACACTGAGGTTTTGTCTTTCACGGCTGCCCAAGGTCATCTAATGTCAGCTCCCAGGGCCCCCCATTTTGGTCCCCCACCCCAGCCCTCTGTAATAGGAAGGAAGGACTCTTTTTCTCCTAGTTTACAGGTGAAGGTTCCAAGGGGCCCAGTGGCATGCGCAGGGCAGCTGGGTCTTCTAGCCTCTTGGGGTTCCTCCTCCCGTCCCCCCTCAGTCCCCGGGGCTTGTGTACCAGACGGAAGGAGCGGAGCACGGATAGCCCTTGCACATTGGCCAGGCCCAGCTCTACCAGGCTGAGGGTTACGATGAAGCTGTCAAAGATGTTCCAGCCCTGCTGGAAATACTCATAGGGGTCCATGGCGATCAGCTTCAGCACCATTTCTGCAGTGAAAATGCCTGTGAAGACCTGGGGAGCGGGACATGAAATCCCCGTCACAGAGTCTCATGGAGAACAGGACCTTGGGAGAGTTCCCCCCTCACCTCCTGGCACACGCTTTAGAAACTGAAGGGTAGGGGTTGAGGGCCCTGAAAAGGGGTAGGGAGTGGTCCCCGAGGCCCATGGGTGTGCATGTGGTGACAGGTACAAAGACCACATCCTATGCCTAGGTGGGTACAACACAGACCCATTCCTACCCATTTCTGACATTGTGACCACGGTCAAGTCACTAACTTCTTGGGTCTTCGACCTGATCGTAATGTTCAACGTTCATGAAGTCTGGTTCACACTGACCTTGTTGGCATGTGGTTCTCTACAAAGCTGGAGGGATTATCACACTCTTTCCACAGATAAGCAATTGAGGCTCAGAGAGGTACACCCCAGCTCCACCCCCCCCCCCCTTGTCACTCAGTTCCTCAGGGTCTCAGTTCGGAATTTCTCCTTTGTGCTCCAAGCCTCCCTACCGAGTACAACCCAGGACCTAGCAAACTCGGCTTTTTGATTTTGAAACAGGGGTCATGTAGCTCAGGCTGGCCTTGAAATCACTGCACAGCAGAAGATGACCGTGGACTTGTGACGGTCCTGCCTCCACCTTCCAGGTGCTAGGGTGACGAGCACCTGTCATCAGGCCTGGTTTTATTCAGTGCTGGGGATGGAGCCTAGGAAGGCTCGCACAGTGAGGTAAGCACTCCACCAAAGGAGTCACACCCACCCTCAACCACCTAGCAAGCTTTGGTGGACACAAGGTCTTGGGCAGAATCAGTAAGAAGGTCAGATCTGCCTCCTCAACCCCAGAACAGGTTCCTGAGGGCCTCACAGCCCCTTCAAGTTCACCGGGCATGGCACCCCTCCTACCAAGCATCAGCTGCTCTGGGTCAACAGCATGCCTAGGTGCACACTGGGTCCCTCCCAAGAGCTGTCCCTGGCCATAGCAGGTGCCCAGATAGCAGTGCAGTGTGGACGGTGGGAAGGCAGGCAAACAGGCCCTGCCCATCACACACACCCTGGCAGCTGTGCCATGAGCCTGGAGCACGCCCTGGCCTCTCTTGCCCAGCCTGGCCATGGCTTCTCTGGGCATCTTTACAAGCAGACATATCTGCTTTGAAGGTTGGGGATTCTGATGACATGATTCTTATGCCCCCTACCAGGTGTGGGTACTGTCCCAGCCCTCCTCACATGGTAGACTCTCTGAGCTTGCCTCTCCTGGAGGCAATGGGAGCCTCTTGCCCATTTGGGATGGGTGGGTGGGTGGGTGGGGTGGGGCTGCAAAGGGGATTGGGAAGGGTGGGGCACAGTGGAGCAGGGCTGGAGGAGGAGGCAGCCGCTTTTTCCTTTGTCAGGGCTCCACTGGGGCTGGCAACGAGGTGCTAATGCTCCTAATGGGCAGGGATAAGCAGTCGGATCAGAGCATGTCAACAATAGCTGGGCAGCAGAGGGTATGGGAGACAGCAGCCCGGTGGAGCTGGAGAAGCAGGAGGGCTCTGGAGCCAGGTAGACCCTCTGGCATTTGGGTGTCTTTGGCTATATGCCCCCATTCCCAGGCCCATGGTCTCTTTTAGGTTCCTGACAGTCTATGAAAGTGGAGAAACTTGTTACCTAACCCTACCCATTTCCACACCCCAACTCCCTCAACCCCCATTCCTAGATGTGGCCTGGATCCCAGACCTCCAGGAGTTTTGATCTCAGCTCACCCCACTCTCCTTGTTCCCAAGTACCTTGAGGTTCAATTACCATATTCCCTAGACCACTGCATGCGCCTCCTCTTACGACTTGTGCCAGCTGTCCCCAAGTGCCCTCCATGTCCACACAGCCCAGGCAGCCCCACACTTCTGTCCTGTCCTCCAGACGACCGCCCTCCCCTTCTGTCCCTTCCTTACCAAGTTGCCCACGGAGAGCACATTGTCAAAGTGCTCGGTCATGGGGTAATGCTCCATGGCCATGAAGAGGGTGTTGAGCACGATGCAGATGGTGATACCCAGGTCCACGAAGGGGTCCATGACGATGAGGTGGATGATGTGCTTGAACTTCACCCACGGGGCACAGCAGTTCCAGATGAGCACTTTGTGTGCACACTTGTACCACCACGGCGGGCACTTCTGGTGGGCCTCTTCCAGCTCTGGAGGTGGAGTTGTCACAGGCCTCTGATGAAGAGTCTCTGGCTGGCTGGACTCTTACTCTATCTAGCTCTCTGACCCTCCTCCTATGCTCTGAATCTTTTGCCCACCCCCTCAATAAGGCCTTCTCTAGCCCCATCCCACCCCACATCAGCTTAGGACCAGTCCCTCAAAATCCCACCCACAAGCCCCATCCCTCCGAGCCCTGCCCTCTTAGAGCTCAGCCCCTCAAGGCACATCTCCTTGGTAAGCCTTAACCGGAACCCCTCCCCAGGGCTCGGCTCTGAGTCCTCAGCAACTCCATTGTTAGACCCTCCAATGTCCTCCACTCAGAGAGCTGGAGCGGAGCTATCTGCCATTCTCTCGGACTTGGGATTCTGTCAGGAAAGAGACATACCCTGGTCTCTGGCTGGGTTCCAGAGTCTTCAGGGAGTATTGGGGGTCCACTTTAGGGGGTCAGTCCTCAGTGCTGCTGGCAGAGTTCCTGAACACTTTCCCTCCCTGTGATAACCCAGGTCACCCCAGACTGTCCCCAGGCATCAACAACCTTTCCCTCTTGAGTGGCTTTCTGGAAGACTACTCTTCCTGCTACCCCAAGCTGTGGGGTCTACGGGATGGGGCTGCTCCTTCACCTGGCCTCTGTGGCCTATGGGAGTGGCCTTCTCCTAGTCAGATTCTCCAGTACCCACCACTGGAAACTTAAGAGGCAAAGACGATTGGTGCTACCTATTTTGCAGCTGAAAGAGCCTAGGATAGGTGGCAGCCCCTTGGAGACGCTGGGTAGGGCTGGGGTCCCACCCAGGGATGAGAAAAGTGAATCTCTTGTCTCAGGCTAGTCTGCTTGGGCTAATGTCAGGGTCCCGGAAGCTGAGATCTGAAGCCTGAGAAAGAGGTCACAGCAAGAACAGAGGCGGGAGCTTCTTGGGCCAGCTCTGCCCAGCATTCCCTGGACCATTTTCTCTGGCAGAACACAGTCACCTGAATGCAGAGTGTAAGGTCACGCGAGATGGGTCCCTCTACAGGTTGGCAGAGCCCTGGAGAACCCCAGGCTGCTTTTAGCACGAGGCAAACCCTAGGAATCGACTGGGTCCCCTCTGGGTCAGAGATTCTTTCTAGCCTCCCTCTCTCTTCATTTCCTTCTTCCGTATCTATCGCTCTTTCTCCCTCCCTCTCTCTCACCATCCTCTTCTCCCATCCGCACACCTATCTGTCTTTCCATTCGGCAATCTGCCCGACCATCTACGATCCATCCACCCAGCCAAGCTTCTGTCTGCCCATCTCTTGTTTACCGCTTCTGTATTCTCCTCCTGAGACTTGGGGGTACCACAGGACTTGTGGGGAGTCTGTGATTCTACTTGGGGAAATTGAACCATTGACCTTTAACCTTTACCCAGGAAACAATGGAGTCGTTTCCAGAACACCAGGCCTTCCTGGTTAGTATTATTAGCCTGTCCTTCCTCGTTGCCTTGGCAGCCCCCAAGCCCTCCCGGAAGCCCCTAGTTCCCGCAATGGCCTGGCCTTGCAGCCAGAAATGGACCAGGTTGACAGGACTATATTTATCCCAGCTTACTTCTCTGGTGTCAATATTAAGTTACTGCCCTCCTGAGGCTGGGTCCAAGCAGGTCCCGCCCTGCACCTCAGGAGGCTGAGAGGCCTGGTGGGCAGTGCAGGCAGAGGGGGAGGAGAGGGGGGCACAGGGCACTCACCCTCCATGGCGTCTGAGATGGCGCTGTCCGCGCTGCAGCTTGGCCTCGGGGGCCCCTTCTCCCCAGACGTGTCCAGGCTGCCATTGCAGTCCTTGCTGTGGGCCGGGTCCCCGTCTGCCTCCCCGCCCTCCAGAGCCTGGGCGGCCTTAGCCTGTAAATCAGCAAGGACAATGAATGCGAAGTCTCACTCTGAGCCAGGGGGATGGACACATTGACTCTTACTGGGCCTGCTGGATGACAGGCCCTTTTCTTAGTTGATGCCAAATCCAGGGAATGTAGAGAAGGGGCAGCTTTCAGTGGTGATGGGGTGACGGGGTAAGGACAAGGTGACTGGGGACCTTGACCCTGAAGACCCTCAGCCCTGATACACTGATGGGCCCTGGACTTCGTATATGTATGAGAAAGAGGGGAGCTGCCCTGTGTATAACCCGGGACCCCGTCTCTGCCTCAACAAGGACCCAGAAAGCACAAAGCCATAGACCTTTAATCTGGAGGAAAGTTCACATTTCACTGTCCCAAACTCCTTGCAGTGCCATGGGGGAAACTGAGGCATCGCTCTCCACCTGGGGCTTTGTGCTCCTTTTGCTCCATAAGCCTTCCCTCTTGCCCCTCCTCCCAGCCTGCCTCGAAGGAGCCAGCGGATTAAGCAGTCCAGGCCACAGCCCAGACCAGGGGCAGGGAGACCCTGGGGTCCTCACCCCAAACTCTGTGCCTGAATCCACACCTTTTCTAACTCCTCCTGATGTTTTTTGTATTTCTCAAGCATCTGCTGAAACTCCTCCTCTTTCTCCTGGTCCTCGGCCAGGGTAGCTTCGTTCTGCTCAGCATAGGCCATGGCCACCACCGCCAGGATCAGATTGATGAGGTAGAAGGAGCCCAGAAAGATGATGACCACAAAGAAAATCATGTAGGTCTTGCCCGCTGCTCGAAGGGTCTGGGAGAGGAAAGAAGGGGGGTCTCATGGCCTCCAGGGCCCTTCTACATGGCCGTCGCTTAGGTAGGTAGGCAGAGAAGGGGTCCCTCACAGAGCCTGGGGATGTGGGGGCCTTGGAGACACCACTGCCTGCTCCATTTATTTAAAAAGGTATCTTCAATCTGTAGTTGGATGAATCTACACAGGTGGAGCCCACAGACATAGAGGGCCAACTACCACTGTGTGGGGGCAGAGTTGAGTTTCCCGGATGTCCTATTGGTTTCTCTGAGGCTTGGAGATTCCTGGGACCGCGTCTATAGTAGCCCCAGACCCTCAGCCCATAAATCAAAAATGGAAAAGGACTATGGTTTGGCTCTAGCCAGGTATTTCCTAAGAGCCCACAAGGGGACTGAAGGAATCCCCTAGGGAGACGGTGCAGTGAGGCCCCGGCCATTGTGGGTGGGCTCTGAGGAGCAGTGGTCCGGAGGGTATGTCTGTGGGGCCGAAGGGCAGAGTGAGGGCAGCTGTACCAGCTGGAAGAGGTTCTCCCAGTAGTCCTGGGTTATGAGACGGAAGAGTGCCAGGAAGGCCCAGCTGAAGGTGTCGTAGCTGGTGTAGCCGTAGTTGGGGTTCCGCCCAGCCTTTATGCATTCATAACCTTCGGGACAGTGCCTGGTAGTGAGAGGAGGGCTGGATTAGGGATGGAAGAGAGCTGAGGACCGATGGAGGACTCCGGGGAGTGGGGATCCCCAGTTCTCCATAATCCTCCAAGCACCAAAGCCTTCTCTCCTTGCCCACTGGTTTCCCCCACACTCCTATCCACTCCAGACCCCTGTCCCTAATGAATCCCCACCTCCCAGGATACCTGGGGTACTGTCGCCCCACAACTCACCCGGCGTCACTGCTGTTCCCGCAGAGCAGGGCATCATTGGAGCCCTCCAAGAAGTAGAAGTTCCCTTTGGGAATGAGAGGCCACGAAGAAGACAGGTTACCACACAGACGCACAGTAAACACACGCATACAGCGTACACCAGCGGACAGATCTGTGTGGCCCTTCCCATCCTTTACAAACAGTTCCAAATTCCAAGATTCCCCAGTGGGTAAACTGCAGGGCTCAGCTCTAAGCCATGCCAGCGTGGTGCCTACTGTGGTTATGAAGTCAGGATTTTCCAAGAGCCCAACACGGGGCAAAGGGCTGTGTCTGTGTATGCATTAGGCTACCGCATGCTTACGTAACTGCAGGGACGGGGTTAGAATCTAGGGGCCACAGTGAAGGAAGAACAGCGCTTCAGTAAGCAGACACCGTGAGTAATAGAGACTATGAGGATGTGATGCGGGTTCATGTACCCATAAAGGACAGGCACGTGAACAGGACATGCTCATTGGCAGCCCTGCCAGGAAGGGAGCACAGAGTGTGGGGAAGGGGAACAGGGTGCCCAGGCTACAGAAGGTTGATGGATTGTCTCTTTGTACAGTGAGAGCTGTGTGTGTGTGTGTGTGTGTGTGTGCAACCTTTTTCTTGGCACCAACTGTATACTTTTTTTCCAGGGAGTCTCTTATTGGGACCTGGGATTTGCCAGTGAGGCAGGATTAGCTCGCTGTCCCATGAGCCCCTGAGCTCTGCCTGTTTCCGCCTGTCCAGGGCTGGAATCACAGGCATGTGCCACTGTGCCTGGTTCTTTACATGACTTCTGGGGATTGACTCGAGTCCTCAATCTTGCATGGCAAGCACTTTATCGATTGAGCTATCTCCTCAGCCTCAACAGGTGCAGGAGTTTAAAAACAGTGTGTCATTAGCACATTAAGGGGAGTTTTGTCATACTTCATTTGACAGGAGAGGATTTTTGTTGTTGTTGTTGTTTTTGAGACAGGGTTCCTCTGTGTAACAGCCTTGGCTATCTTGGATCTCACTCTGAACCAGGCTGGCCTTGAACTCACAGAGATCCACCTGCCTCTGCCTCCCCGAGTGCTGGGATTAAAGACGTGCGCCACCACATCTGGTGATAGGGAGAAGGTTCTAAGGACCGTGACTGAGTGACTTGTTGGTGGCTACCCAAGCTGGTTAGTGATGGATTTAAGCTTATGTCCTCTGTAAAGAAGCAGCTGAGACAGTGGCTGCGGGAGCGGCCAGGGAGTCTCCTCGGCCCTCCTTCCTCCCTTCTCACCTTCGTCATTGATGTAGGCATCCCAGTCGAAGGTGTAGTTGCTGGCCCAGCTCTCCTGGCTGCTCCAAGTGTCGTTGCCGTACCACACGTCGTTACCGTACCACGTGGTGTTGGTGTCGTTCATGGGCGGGGGCCAGCGCACGCACTTCTGCCGCAGGTTCCCCATGAAGAGCTGCAGCCCCACCAGGGCAAAGACGCTCAGGCAGAAGACGGTGAGGATCATCACGTCTGACAGCTTTTTCACGGACTGGATCAGGGCTCCTACAATGGTCTTCAGCCCTGGTCGCAGCGAGAGGGACGGTGTCAGCCGGGGAAGGGCGGGGTGGTAGAGGACTCCGCCCTGAGCCTCACTCTGAGCCTCAGTCAACTCCATCTCCAAGGCTGCTTTCATTCCTCACAACGTCTTCCCTGAAGCCTCCCTACAGTAGCCCTTTTCTGAACACCTCCTCCGTGTGGAGCTTGGCTTTGCCTGGAGACAAATGACCTCTAAGATTGCCTGACCCTCAGAACTACTCAAAAGCACAGAGGAATTTTAATAAATCTCACTGGGTTAGCGCTCCCAAAGTATGTTCTCCGAGCATTGTCTTAAGCCTGGCTTAGGTTTTCAGAATCTGAGTGTTCACTTCTAGGCCTGGGTATGGCAGAGAGAGCATGTTGGCCCAGGCGGAGGGACCCCACACCTCCCAATACCTGGGATAACCGTGATGGTTTTCAGGGCCCGCAGCACACGGAAGGTCCTCAGGGCCGAGATGTTACCCAGGTCCACGAACTCGGTCACATACCTGAGTGGGAAGTTGAGGTGGGGGCGTATCAGAGCTGGGACAGAAATCAAGTGTCTCTGTGTCCAGAGTGAGGACAGCCGAGGAATTCTTGTAATTGGGGTTATCACAAGGATAATTTGGAGGGCGGGCCAAATAACCCCCAAAGTGGCTCTTCTAGCCCAAGAGTTGGGAAGAACAGTGCTGAGCTTGCTGCTGGAGAATGGAGGAGAAGGACATCCCCACTCACCCACTGGCTGTGGGGCTGCGAATCAGGCTGCCTCCTAAGGTGTACTTGGTATGAGGAGGGGACACTGACCTCTGAGCAGGGCCCTGGGAATGTCCTAGATCATGTGGCTCAGTCTGAACAAGTAATGGCCCCTGCCACCCCCCTCCCACGCCCGTCAGCGCCCTCTTTGGAGCTTACCCTTCTGGCCGATCCCACCCTCGTCTCAGAGCCCCGCTCACGCCATCGTGATGACACTGAAATCCAGCCAGTTCCAGGGGTCCCGGAGGAATGTGAAGTCATCAATGCAGAAGCCTCGGGCCAACATCTTAATGAGAGACTCAAAGGTGTAGATCCCTGTGAAGGTGTACCTGACAAGAAGAAGGCCAGTTGGGGCCAGTGTGCCACCTGGATGATGTGTGTGTGTGTGTGTGTGTGTGTGTGTGTGTGTGTGTGTGTGTGTATGGCAGCTGTGGACCTTAGAAGAGGGACACCAGGATGGCATGTGGCTACCCAGGGCTGAGGACCTTGGTGAGGGTGTTAACATGGCCTCTCCCACCATGGCTTAGGGTGTTAACTGTCACAGGGACAGTGTGTCTCCCCTGAAAGACAAGGGCAGTGTCGCTCTGAGCACTCCGGGTACAGACCTGGGATAGGAAATCTGGGGAGGGGGGACTTACTCCACGTCCTTGGACCAAGAAGGCGGGTTGCTCATGGTCATGAACACACAGTTGGTCAAGATGGTGATCATGATAAACATGCTGAATAGCGTGGGGGTGGGTCAAGGAAAGAGAGGGAGCAGCTGGGAAGAGGAGGGCACAGGAAGGTCTTCCTGCCCGCCCCCTACCCTCCCCACCTCTCCCACGTGGGCAGGATATGCGTGGATGAGCACCTTGATAGCCACACGCCTGACAATGCTGAAAGGGCTCAGCATGTAGAGGGCAGGCGTGGCGGAGAAGCGGAAGATGGCCTTGCCTTTGTTGAGCACAATGAAGGTCTGAGAAAGGGAGAGAAACCATGAGCCCAAAGGACAGACAGACAGACAGGAGGCACAGAGAGAGGGTGTCCTCCCACACCCAGACCTTCTTGTCACTGTAGTAAGGGTCCAGGTCCTCCAGGGGGATGCCGATGACTTCAGGTGGCGGGTCCCCATAGATGAGGGGCAGGCTCTTGCCAGCTTCCAGGTCACTGCGTGGCTTCCGCTCAGGCTCCTCAATCTCCATTTGCTTATTCCGCTGCAGCCGGGCCTCCTCCTCCACTGCCCGCTGCTCTATGGCTGCCAGGGACTCTGGGGTGAAGGGGCGCAGGCAGTGGGGACCGATGGGTATCAGGGTAGGCAGAGATGAGCTGGCCATGCTTGCATCCTGGGCTCAGGGGCCAGAAGGATGGTAGGCAGCAAGGCAACCACAGCCCGTAGTCCCGGGGTTCTGGGTGGTCACCAAAGTCCTGGGTCTACAGCGTACTCCTCACTTCCTGCCTGCCCAGGGGTTGGGCCAGGCAGGTTGGGTGTACAGGTCTTGTTGGGGCTGGGAGATGTGCCTGCAAGACCTGGGTGTGCTGCTGCACATGCACTGGGCAGGAAGCATCCCCCACCCCAGGCCCCACAGTGCACTCTTCTCTGCAAATAGGTTGCGCCACCTTCAGGACCAACAGAGAACGAAACCAGATCCGCGTCAGCCTTGGGAACTTGCGGGCAATGCCCCAGTGTTCCTGAACTGTCTCCCGGGTTCAAACTCCAGGAACTGTATGGCTTCAGCCTATCGGGACACAGAGAGAGAACCTGTACTGGCTACATCCACGTGATCTCCAGATCAAGATGAGGGTCTGGTAGGATTATCCTAAAGCACAGAAGGGCTGTGCTGGGTTAGTTATTGAAAATGGACTTAGGGGAGTGGTTCCTTCAGCAAACAGAAAGAATACTGGCCCAGCCACTCACAACCACTGAAAGGTCAGTATGGAGCTGGAGAGATGGCCCAATAGTTAAGTGCATATAAGGACCTGAGTCTGGATTCTCAAGAAAAAAAAAAAAAGGATAGCCACATGAACAGTGCTGGGGCAGGAGCAGAGACAGGAGGATTGCTGGGTTTTGCTGGCCACTAGTCTAGCTCCAGGTTCAGGGAAAGTCCTCCTTCAAAGAAATGGATAGGGATAAAGCAAAGCAGGCAATGCTCTCCTCTGGCCTCTGCAAGCACATGTATACACACACGTACACACACACACACACACACACACAGAGAGAGAGAGAGAGAGAGAGAGAGAGAGAGAGAGAGAGAGAGAGAGAGAGAGAGGTGATTATAAAGGTTATAGTAAATAGTTCTGGATTGTTTGGATCGTTAAATGGGCCTATAACTACGATTGCAGACAGAGCATTTATTAAGATGATGTTGGTATATTCGGCTATGAAAAAAGGGTGGCTGGACCGGCAGCGTATTCTACACTAAATCCGGATACTAGTTCAGATTCACCTTCTGTGAGGTCAAACGGGCACGATTAGTTTCTGCTAGGGTTGAAATGTGTCATATTATTCCTAGAGGCCAAGTTGGGATAATTAGTCAGAGGGTTTCTTGAGTTAAGATTAGGGGTTGAAGTGAGAATGATCCATTTATTAGAAGGCTGATAATAGAATAATTGCTATGGTGACTTCATAGGAAATGGTTTGGGCTGCTGCTCCGAATATAGAGTATTTTGAGTTGGAGGCCCGTCCTGATCATAGGATAGACTAGATTGATAAGCTGGAAGTAGCTAGGATGAATAGAATCCCTAGGTTTAGGTTAACTAGAGGGCGAGGTATAGGTAGTGGATCCTAGGACCTCTTCCCTAACACAGGGACTCTGGCAGACCCCAGAGCGACATCAAGTACAGCCCTCTCACAGAAGACCCAAGCCCAGAGGCTCTGCTTATTGTTGATACTCCTCAGGCTTGGTCAACAGATGCAGCAGATGATAGGGAAAGGCCAGAGCCATTGGGCAGAGGTGGCCACACCCCTTGCCCAGCTACCCAGCTGCTTCTTGCCAGGCTCCAGGGAGTCAAGTTTCTGGGAGATGACTCTGCTGGTTCCTGTTTCTCAGCTGGTCAGTGACCCTGTGGTGAGCAAATACACACATACACACACTCAGGTCTGTGCTGAAACCCTTCACAGAGATACTCAGCCTGTCCCATGACTTACCCTGACCCTACATACATGCTTGCATCTTGTTATATGATAATGCTGGCCTGCCAGATGGACTTGGAGGGACCCACCCAGTCTTAAGTCATCTTGGCCACAATACCCCAATTCTGGTGCCACTCTGTCTGTTTCACAGGAGCACAGAGGGACCACAATAATCCAGTGTCACAGCCTGGCTCTGGACCAGCCCTCGAGGAACTGACCTCACCTGAATCACGGGAGCCCAGGGGCAGTCCAGTGTTTCTTCTCGGCTCACACCCCTGAGCATCCTGCCCTGCTCCCATGTCTTGAAAACGATGTGGCCCACCCCACTGGCCTACTTCTGGTCTCTGCTCTGAGAAGCATCCCCTTCTCTTCTCTCCCTGGGAACACACACACACACACACACACACACACACACACACACACATGCACTTCTCCCTTCAAAATCACCACCTCCCATCCCTCCCATCCTTTCGCCAACCCTGAAGCCACTTCATGTTTGGGAATTTTGCTGTGTGCGGGGAAATGGGCTGCATTCCCAGTACCCACACAGCGGCTCACAGCTGCCTGTAAGTCCTGTTCCAGGGGACTGATGCTCCCTTCTGACCTCCACAGTGGCCAGCCACAAACAAACACACATGCAGGCAAAACATTCATACAATAAAAGTAAATAAAGATATAAATTTTGTTTAAAAAAACACATGCAGGGCTGAGTGGTGGCACACGCCTTTAATCCCAGGACTCAGGAGGTGGAGGCAGGTGGATTGCTATGAGTTTGAGGCCAGCCTGGTCTAGAGAACAAGTTCTAGAACAGCCAGGGCTACATAGAAAAACCCTGTCTCAAAAACCACCCAGCCCCCCAAAAGAAGCCGTGTGCCACCCCCTCTAGCTCCACTTTGGTTTTGTTGTGTTTGTTTGTTTGTTTGTTTGTTTGTTTGTTTGAGACAGAATCTATCTTTGGCTTGGAGATCAATGATCAGAATGTTAGCTGGTTGTGGAGACTTCTACTTCCTCAGAACTGGGATTATAAGTATGCACCCAGTTTTGTCTGTTTGGGGTTTTTTGTTTGTTTGTTTGTTTTGTTTTCAGTGGGAGCTGAGGCTTGAACTCAGATTCTCAAGTTTATGCAGCATAAACTTTCCTACACCCCGCCCCCATCCCTGCAGGATTTTCCATGAGGCCTGTTCTCCCTCTTCCAGAAAACAAATGTTTCACGTCATCTCCTGCTTCTTTAAATGTCCACGCTCTCCCCTAAGGTTCCCCTCGGATGGCCCTGCCTTTTTCCTAAATGACACCAGCACAGAGTCAAGCCTCCAGACATGCCCACTGCCTTCCCCTGTCTTCCTTCCCCTCCTATTAGAATAATAATAACCTGGCCAGGCATGGTGGTGCACACTTTTAGTCCAAGCACCTGAGAGGCAGAGGCAGCAGATCTCTGAGTTCAAGGCCAGCGAGGTCTACAGAGTGAGTTCTAGAACAGCCAGGACTACACAGAGAAACCCTGTCTCAAAAAACCAAACCAATCAAACAAGCAACAACAACAACAACAACAATAATAATCACCACCATACGCTGGGCCTTCCACTTGTACTCAACACCTGGGCCCCTGTGCTTCCTCACGACATCTTCCTGCAATTCTTTTCTGTCTACTACTCATGGTTGTCTGTCTTCTTCTACATTAAAACTAACGACGGCCACCACACCTCACACCTCCGTCATCGTCCCCCTGTCTTCCTGTCTTGGAAAGTGTCTACACCAGCTGTCTCTACTTCCTTACCTTTGTTCCCTCCTCAACTCATTCCAACCTGGCTGCCATCGCCCCGCTCAACCGGAACTGCTTTGTCAATCACTAACACTCCCCCTGCTGCCAAGTCCAGGACGCACGTTTCTCTCCTCGCCTCCCTTGACCTCTCAGGAGCAGTCAACCCAGTTGGCCACAGCCCCTCTCTGGAATATTCTATTCTTTCAGCCTCCACGGGATCGCACGGGTGATTTCTCTTCCTCTCTTGCTCTTTCTTAACACCGTCTGTCGTACGGTCCTTTCTGTACTCAATCCTCCAAGTCGCATAGGGCTCAGCCTTCACACGTCTATGATGATAGAATGTGCCATAGGAATAAGATGACCTTTCCTCTCTGCTCTACACAGGCACAGTGACTGCCCTCTGGACAGCTCCACGGTGCTGAGAGGCCCCCCAACCGGAACAGAACTTTTGTGGAGTTTCCATGGTCCCATACACTCTTTCTCATGCCAGAAAATGCATCCTGAATTCTCCTTTTCTCTCACTATGGGCAAAGCCCTGCTAACCCCTTTTCACAATGCATGGAAACGCACCTTTTCCCAGCTTCTCGTGACTGTGCCACAGTCTTTTCTGGGGTAGCCTGTTTCCTGCTACCATTTTTTGCCACTTATCCTCCGAATCAGTCCCACAAGGCAGCCGCTGATCTTTCCTTCCTCCCTCCCTCCCTCCCTCCCTCCCT